AAGACTGATAGGAACTTTCACATCAAACCACTGCCCAAACAGACAGGAAATACATAGGGAGATGGCTACCTAACTACTGCTTTCTCTAATCGGCTACAAAAACTACAGAAACAATGGAAACCTGCCGAGAGAACCGAGAAAACATTACAAACTGTGTGCGTCAAACAGGAACTACACAGGGATTTATATTGAATAATTACGGCACTGATACAATCTACTGAATCTAAACCAGCTACGTGGAATAAAATAATGAATGTTATTCGTCGTTCAATAGGAAAAAAGGATCTATTTATTTAACATACGATTTATTCCGAAAGTAAAGTTGCTTTGTCTATAAATTATCCGAAATGCCTGGAAGCTCCTTTGCCAAGTAAAAATAACCGTTGGCCTAACCCTACGCTTATCTCGTGTTCTCCCAACCTCCCAAGTGTTTACATCAGGCTATGTAAACACGGAAACCATTTTACATTTCTTCAATGTAATGGGCCCACTCCTAGATCATTCGTTTTTTCTTGCCTCTGAAAACTTATTATCTTATAAGAGGTTTTTTTTTGCTTTAAATTCTGCTGAGTCTTTGGCTATAACCAATAGCAAGCCATGCCTTACTGTACTGCTTTCTGATTACAAGTGTTGATTTCACATACGTCACTGCATAATCATGTTCTTAAACTATGAAAAACTGAGGCCCTTACCTGAGAAGTTTTCAACGAGTGTTTTTTGTGGAGGTAAGATAAGGTGAACATGTATCCATTTGACACGCTAGCAATACTTGAAAATGGTTTAATAAGAAGCCAATGATATGAATATATACGCTGTGAGAAACCAGAACGTTCGGTGTCATTACGAAATTTACTAGAGCATGTCGCTTAATGGTCAGGAACACAACTTAGTTCGTACGCAGTATTGCATGAAAAGTAAATTGCGTGATCAATCATGGCTCGTTTGAAATCACATGATTTGCGTCTGTAAAGCAAGAGCCCGTGTCGAATCTTAACAAAACTAACCACAAAGCTGTTTAATTTTACCAATATAGTAAGAGATTTTGAGGAAAGAAACAGATATATACAATCTTTTTTCTTTCTTTCCTTTAACTAAAATAGGCAAATCATGACTCGATTAAATTACGGCATGCCCACCATCATTCCGGTGTGTCCTTACGACGACTTATCTATGAAATAATTACCAAGTCGTGGGTACACAGTTCCGTCGATTATGAGTTGGCTTTTGCCTCTGGGAAACTAGTATGCCATAATTAAGACTATTTTTAAATTACGCTGAGAAGTCACGGTTCATGTTTTCAATTTTTTTGAATCATTGCATCACTTTAGCTGTAAAATGGTTTTGCAGACTTACCTGTGATCCCTCTTTTTAATGTGTAAACAAAGACGTGAAAACGAATACATTACGAATACGTTCAGTCATTGATCTCGATTAGTGGCTTAAAATTCTTGATTCTACTTCGAAAGCAAGATGGAAAGTGCACTCAAAGCATTCACGTAAAACTGTAGCAATAAATTTGATCTTGACTGAGAAAATTTGATGACGGAAACTCTTACTTGCACTTGAATGTTAAAGGTTAACTTGCCTGAGAGGTCTTCTAACCACTCTCCAAACGTGATCAGAGGAACGACTTGCCAGTGGAAGAAATCGTCCGAAAGAAACGGGGTGTCCTCCAAAAGCACTTTCCAATTGAGTCAACATCTCTAATTTTCCCGTTTAATATGCTTTCATACTATGATAACGACATGACACATTTTTCAGCCAATAAGAGACATCGCCTCTTCTTCAGTCAACAAGTCGATGGGCTATAACAGTGACTCTGTGCCTATATTTCAGGGAATGACAACACAGCGCATAACAGAAATATTTGGCCTCAAGAGCAGTGCAAGGTCTTAGCAATGAGTTCAAGCCAATAACCATCCATGATCGTAACCAATTATTCCTTAGCCTGGATCTTTGCTCATCACTTGAAATTATTTGGATTGTGGTACGATCTCACGGACACGACAAATAAAACCTTTTCCAATCTCTGGGTTTGAGGGATATCTTGTGTACCATAAAGAGAAATTGATTCAATGAAGCTTTTTTACGCAGACGCAAGAGGACAAACATCACAGCTGGCGAGACCTTTAGCACAATTAGAAATTGCGAAAAGGTAGATGAATGATGCCAAATCCGAAATAAATTTAAATAATTGTTACTTTACATTTAAGATTCTATACTCCATATGATTAATTACTTTACGCGAGACACGAAAATAGGATTTTCCTGTTCAGAACCAAAGTTACTTTCCATTAAATATCAAATTTGTTCGACTTCATTAAAAACCAAAATAGTTGACCGAACAAACAAACAAACAAAAAAACGAAGACTCTGAAAACTGTAGATTCTATCTCAAATTGCCACGTTACATTTCTTTGGAAAAATCTAGAGCAAGTAACGAAGTCTTGTATTTTCTTAATTATGACCAAGTTAAAATAATTACAAATAACAGAATATTTACCTTAACGTTTTTATATAGTTAGAAATCTTAAAAGGTGGATGTGGCAAACTAAAAGGCCTTGTTTTATGTAAGGTACAAGTTTGCTGTTTGTTTGCAAGGTTAAGCGCTTTTGGAGGTCAAGTATATGTTTTATGATATTTAACATATCATATCTAGGAAAATAAACGGAACAGCTGAAATGAGCTCTTTGAGACACTATGAGAAAAAGTAGCTAAGGTGTTGTGAGTGCCAATATCTGTCTCTAATTGTCTCCATATTCGCTCTTTCATTTTGGTAATTTAATAATAAGCCCTCCGGGACAGGTTTTTTTCAATTGTAATTTTTGCGTAGCGCAGTCAAGAAATAACCAGACGAATATTAAACAGATCGGGCGCGTTTTATTTTCATTTGCTTTCGGGAATTCAGTACAGACGCATACAACATGTGTTGTTACTGTCTGAAATTCTTGCACAACTTGAATGATCGAACGAGGAACCTCTTTCAGGGATTAAGTTTCCGTCTGCTTGAAAATTCCTGTTTGCCTAAGTGCAGCATACCTTCCCAGCCTTTCAACCAATCAAATTTACTTTCTAAATCTGGAAAGCTTATCGTGGGAAGGAGAACAAATAATTTGAGTAGGTTAAGTAATTCGTCAAATGTCGTGATCAATGATGACAAAGACAAAAATTGTGCCACTTTGTGGAATGGAGTCATCACTTCATATGATTTTAACACATCGCTCTCAAATGTGATTGTGGCGCTCATTTTATGTTGCTATTTGCAGCAGTCTCGAAAGATTTTTCTTTACTTCTCCATTTCAGAAGCTACATAAACCTTGAAAGGTTCAGATGGAGATTAATGCTTCAAGCATATTTGAGTGGTTAGAAGGGGACGCAACGATTTTCTTAAAAAACTACGGCATATTCCGAGGCCAAACAAGATACCTTAGATTCTTCTTGTTGTAGGAAAGCGTTTAAGTCTCATCGATCACATTTGCCTTTGATGGCTCCAGTGAGTCTGAAACTTATTTTTTAAACTGTTACCGAGTTTGTCAAGTTAAAATCAGTTGAAGACAAGAAAGGCGATGATAAATTCAAATTGTACTGATAACTGTCTTCCACCTCAATACTTGATAAACAACAAATTATAGAAAAAGGCAAAATTCTTTGGTTTTTTTAAAATCTCCACATAAAATTTTGGAAGAAATCGCCTATAGAAGTATATTGGCTACGTTCTTTCCTTGCGTGATCACTGATGCCGATAAACAAACACGCTAGAAAGAACTTGACCAATATATTTACAACCACTCAACCTCAAGCATAATCGAATATAAGTGTAGAAAGCCAAAACTATCGCTTGATGGTTGTTGAAAACAAATAAAAATTCTGTAAGTCTGTGCCGAAGTAATACAAAATAGTTGTCGCTGCTTCGAAAACCACGTAAACAAATGAAACCAGAATGACAAAAAAGGGGGTTTTTAGGAACGAAGGGGCACAGGCAAGAGATGTTTTGCAAATACTTTTCGAAGAGGGGAATTTGTAGCAGCTTTGCTGAAAACACAGCCAGACGGAATTTTGACACATTTCCTGTGATTCGAGTCCAGCCCAGTTTGTTGAAGATGCCACCTCCCTGAACACTGAGCTTAGGAAATTAAAACCTTTTTATGTCTGTAAGATGAAAGCAAAGGTGTGAAGTTGTAGCATTGAAGTGTTAATAATGCCACCCGCTTGTAGTTTTTTTAGGCAGATTTATGATGTTTCCGTTAATATATGGTAGTATAGGGAGTGAAAAGGCGGGGGAGGGTTAATTCAAATTATCACTACCGTGATCAGCAGTGTTGTGGTATGCCTTATGAAGGAGTTAGGTAAGCAGGTGACCTAAAAACTCCCGCAGAGTACCGGATGCCCTTAATGTTTCACATGACTTTCTTTAAAAAACCTAATTCGTTTTGTGCCATGTTTTTGTTCATGATTGATAACTTCAAAGCAGATTACGTAGCAAAGTTTACTTCAAAACTTTTACAGTAAACAGCCTTCGTTAAAAACAAAATGTAAAAACTACCATTGTTACTTGTAAATGTAGTTAAAAAAAAATGTAATCATCTGCCATGAAACGGATATGTGCTGTAATGATAAAATTATTCAAGAACAATTGAATTTGAATATCATTTAGCCGACTTGAACAATGATCCTTGTTCTCTCTTTAGATAACGAAAGTCAGAGGATCAAATTAAAAAAAAGATTTTTTTGGCTGTTGTTTGTTGTTTGTTGGCTGTTGTTTCCCTATCAGTTAAAAGTATGGCGCACAGTTTTCCTTTTTTCTATCAGTTACGGTGCAGTTCAGATACCAGTTTTGTAACTGATTAGCACTCAGGTCATGATATCTTAACTGGTCCTGTTGTTAAAATTTTTGCCTCAGTCATGGTTTAATGTATTCTAACCTTTTTTTACCAAGCAAAAGGCTAATGATAACAAAATATTTATTCACTATTCTGGAAATACTCAAATGAAAAGGCACCTAAGAACAATCTGTGTTATCTCCAGTCAAAACTCCTTTCAACATCGTCTATTTTATATTTTTGTAGTTCAGCGTCCCTTATTTTATCGTCTATTTTGTCTTTGAGCCACTCACTGACTGTGTTATTACTATATATTTGTGACAATAGATTGGATGCTTCGTCCCTCAATTGACGGTATGCGTTCACAGCCCTGAAATTGAGAAAAAATAATGAAAGTCAAACGCATTCGCATCTAATGTCAGTTTTACCTTTCTGAAGAGGTTCCTTATTCACTACAAATTAGAAGAGCCTTCCGTAAAATAAACAGCTAAAAAATAGATTCACTACTTAAAAATATCACACTGTACTGCTAGTCAGTGCTAGAGGAACCATTATACATGCTTAGTGGGTCAGGCGTTGTTTTAGCCCAGAACTAAAATTGCATTTGAAATATAATTTTTTACTATATAGACAGTGATGTTTCCTGGACGGAGATCGAAGACAAATACGCGTATCATCCCAAGGGTGTCTCAAGAGTCTCAACTTGTTGACTAAAACAGACTAACTGCGGTCTCTTTCAGGACATGAATTTCTTTTTTGTCAGAAGTAAGATTTTCAGCCCTGTTGCAAGCCGCAGACAGCTTTTAGATTAATTCAGTGCGCAGCCGTCGTCAAGAAATTCATCAGATCACACATGCGCCTCGTTAGAACAGCTTCGTAAGTTTAATCTAGGGACTCTAGTTGGAACCTTACCAGCCATGGTCTGAAATTTAAGAGTGAACAACTGTTTCTTTTGTGAACTAAACGAAAATTAGTAAAATGCCCTGGTACCCTTCTGAAATCCCTCAAGTGGTTGTCTAGAAAATAGGGAGATAACGCTTACTGAATGCTTTTTAAGCGTGCAAAATGCAAACGGAAATAACTGAGAAAATTTTCTTCAAGTTGCCTTTCCAACATCCAACCTTTTTCCCTAGGAAGAGAAAAAAAAACAACCAACATTTCAGAGAGGACTTGCAACGGTTGAAGGGTTATTCCCCACACTATACAGATTAAATGATGATCATTGTCACGTTTCTTTATCTCTGCTAGGCAATACAGCACATGATCACGCAACGAATTGCAGAAGCGGCTGAGATATGAGTTTGACACGGTGTCGGGTAAAAAACAGTACGAGCCAACATAGCCTGATTTGTGAAAACTGTACAATTGGAAAAAAAGACCGCAACTTAGCATCAACATCAGATTATCTGATAGCGGGGATCGCAGTACACGCAAAACGCGCGCGCAGCAAAACACCATACCTAAGGAAAACTAGAATGATATTTTCTTTTTTCTCTTCCGGGTATTTTGACTCTACGAATCGTCGATTCTAAAAAAAGGCAAATAACGACTGAAAAATTAAAACAACGTTACTGGCTTGTAGTAACACTTCGAAAATTGATAAGTTCTCTAAATATCAGTGTTCACGTGTCTAAACAGTATTGTTTACTGGAAGATTTTGTGTATAATAAAATAACGAAAAGTTTTCTTGTCATCAAGTAAACAATGGCCAAAATTGACTTGTTTCGTTGCGTTGGTCTTGTTCGCGCATGAAATGTGTACGTTTTTGGGCTCTTAACAGCAACGTGGGTATTTCTTAGTCATTTTTTATTGTTTTTGCAGATAGAATTTGGTAGTAAGCAATCTTTGGGAGAACTTGACTTGACTTTGATAAGATCCGCAGACGTTTTGGTACACGTACGAAAAATTTGTATCTTGAATTCAGAGAAAGATTTGTCACACATCGACCATTTGTTTAAACAATGAGTTACTTAGCTATTTAAATTTCATGAGAACTTGCATTTGGAAACAGGAAATCTAAAAAATATTAACTAAGAATTATGCTTGGTCGTCCCGTTCTAGAAAAAGAAAGTGATTGTGCAGAAGCACACACTCAGTTCTCGACATGTCTCACATCCACAATATGAGTCTAGTCCATTCTAGTAATTTCATTGATCAGGCGTGCGGGGAAGAAATACATAGGCATGCGTTGCATGCAAGAGTTTTTTTTTCGGCTCGGCGGGTTAACATGGGGCACTTTGTGTACCTAATGTTTAATTTTTGTAACAGAAAGAGAGCATTATTTGCAAACGGACGAAAATATCGCATTATTTCACCTTAAGAGAAAGAAAAAACCTAATTTATCAGAACTTACAGAGGTATTTTGTGGTCTATTGTCTCTACTGTTTAAATACTTCTAGGCAAAAATGAAATGCATCGGTACCACACTTATTGTTATCTCCTGCGCAGCAATTGTTTGGTCTCGTCTCACAATGCCATCTATTTCCCGTTGGAGAGAGAGTACGTTGCGTGATGAGACCAAATAACAGTTGCGAAAGAGACTACGCTCACTGCCGATCCTTTAACAAGGAGAAATCAAAATCATTCGTCTACAGTTAGTTGCCTGAAAAATATAATTCCACGTAATTGTACTACGAAAAGCAAACTGAAACTCTGCTGTATCTCCAATACACGATATAAGTGAATAAGTATAGGAAATCGTATGAACGCGAGTGCATTTCGTGATTTATGGGCACGAGTGATGTTTTGAAAGTTCTCAAAATTGCACGAGCCGTAGGCGAGTGCAATTTGAGAACTTTCAAAACATCACGAGTGACCATAAATCACGAAATGCACGAGCAGGTTCATATGATTTTTTATTTATTAAATTCTCGACAAAATTACTCCAACATTTTATCGAGTTGTTCGTGCTCGTATTCTTCCATTTTTCGGTTTACTTTTCGTTGAGTCGCCCATGTTTGCCAGACATTTAACCAGGTCTGTGAAGCTTTCAACGTGTTTTTGTTTTTCGCATTTTCTTTAAGTTGCTCAACGATGTTCTGGTTTGACAAAGCAAACCGGCTGTCAGCCATTTTTTTATAATTTGGTGTTCAAATTTGGCGCTTCCCCGGTGTTTCCATGGCAACTTCTCCGTATTGCACTCTATAACCTCTGTTGCACTCTATTGCTGGTTTTCAGTGTCACGCCATTCAAAATAGATCAAAATAAAAAATAAAAACCGTTCAATCGATTTAGTCTAGAATCTGGAAATAGAAAGAAGCTAGATATGTAAAGACTCTCGCCAAGATTCAGGTCACAGCAATTTTTCTTACGGAAGATATGAGGAGAAACGTTTTTCCCAAATTTATAGAGATTTGTATGGAGCCGCCATGCTGGTGCCCACCTAGATGGGCACCAACATGGCGGCCGGAAACCAGCAGAAACATCTGTCACTGAGTTTTGCTACAAAAGCGTGAATTTATCTCTCTAAGAACTCATAAACGTAACAATAATACTTTATTCTAATACAAGAACTGTTCAGATAGCTGAATTTCCCTAAATAAGTCACCTTTTAAACCAATATAACAGCTCTCTCGCTCGTCATGTAAAGGCCACGTCACGCAAAAGCTTAGAAATTCAAGAGTAGTCTATCACTAAACCAAGAACCCATTTGGAGTGAAAATTTGTCTGAATATTAGTTTTTAGCTGCTCTAATACATCATGAAAGTAAAATCTCAAGAGGATCAATAGTTCTGAAGTCTGAAATTTAGTGACGTCACGTGAAAACCAGCAATAACCTATTTATGCATTCATCATTGACCAATCAGAAACGCAATATTTTGTTGAGTATATAATAAGTGAAGATACACTGAACAAGAGAAAAGGATAATATTTCAAAGAGGGCTCCGTGATTGGTTGTTGCTTATCTCGACGTTGCCCTCCCCATGTGAAGTACATGATAAAATGCAGGTTGTTTAAAAAGAATTAACACGCGATTGGATTAAGTCCAAGGTAGCTAAAAGCCGGTTTTATACGTAGAAAAAGTTAAAACGCGGGAGAATTGCTTTAAAAAAAAAACACAATCAGTAGCTTTTAGTTCCATGTGAATTTTTTTTCAGTGTGGTCGGACAATGCGGTCAGAATACGCGATGAAATGCAGATTGTTTACAAGGAAATAACACGTGATGGAGCGAAGTCTAAGTTGGCAAAATAGAATTTGATTGGTGGAATACAATTCAAGCGCGTGAAAAATTGCCTAATGTTCATGTAGTGCAATGAATGGGTATGTTCTGATCGGACTTTGGACGTTTTTTTCATGGTACGTGATGGGCGTTGCGTGTAAGTTGTGAGTAAAGGAGCGGAGAAAGCAAGTTTTAACTTAAAAATGATGCAAATGATGTGAACCCGTCATATCCCGATAATCTCGACCTTAATCGATGAGGCTCTCGCGAAGGCCACAACCATAACACTTATCAAATGAGCACAAAATTTATTGCATCATTTACTAGAAAACAATACCCAAACGCCGTGATCAGTGCAAGACATCCAAATGCTGTGATATGATTAATGCGAGGTACATACCCTAAATGCTGTGATTGGTGCAAGATATCCCAATGCTGTGATATGGTTAATGCGAGATACATCCCCTAACGCAGCAATCTGATTGGTGCGATATATAACTCTACATGCTAACATAGAGTTTTCTTTTTTTTTACAAAAAAAAAGTTACTCAAAAAGGGAAGCTTCGCTTTTATGATTGATAAACTCTCATTACAATTATGTTATGAATCAAGTATCCAGGAGATTGACCATTAGATCCTAACTATCTTTAAGATGATCTACTCCTTCCACGTGCAATAAATGCATCAAGTACTAGAAGAGAGCATTACATATCGACTGAAGTAATGAAAAACTTTAACATCAGAAAAATAGTTTTGCTCACGTGCTATGCACTAATGCCAGTCCATGATTAGCATCCTTCAGTTTACAGCTGAGTTCGTAGATCTCATGGCCTGGGAAGTCTCCGTACCTTTCTGTTTCACTGAAAAGTGCAATTGGAGTGAAACTAACGTACCTTTATGTTACAAGACCATTGTCTATGACTTGATAATATAATTGAGTAATTATATACCCTTCTATTAACTACTCAAATTGCATGCATGTTTATAATATCATTTTGCTCAGATGAAGGTGATAGATATGGCACCTTAATACTACATTCACACTTAAATTATTCTACTGAACCCATCTTACTCAAAGTATTCAGTTCCTTCCACATCGATTCTCCCACTGAAACCAAGTTCCTGAGATAACGCTTTACGCAGGGCCTCGTTCATTTGACCTATAAGCAAAAACAAACAAAAAATATATATTGAGACAAAGGCTTTTGAAAGGAGAATCACTTTACGTTGAATCGTTTTATTTCTTGAGAGGCTTCTTTAAAGAATTAGCCTCACCACAATATAATTCATGAATTATAATGAACTCTCGCACGATCTGCATTTGATCCATTTTATTTGCGTGAAATGCAACATTCATTATAATATATACCTTCTACTAAAAAGTCAATCTCTTGTATCGTCTTCAAACAGTAGATGCTGGAAAACTAACCTTCGTCGATGGCCTTCAAACATAATGCGAGGGACGGAATCCCTGCTGGTAATAACTCGCACAAAGTGCCGTAGTGGTCATATCTTCAAGATATAAAGGTGCCATAACTTCACACACGAATGATAAAGAGATCATCAAAACACTGAATGAAAAGGTTTTACTGTAATGAGAATGACAGATAGATAGAGAATAATACATTGGCACGCGTGGCTATGGAATTTCTTTGCGAGTGTTCAACTCGATTGCTCAGGAGTGAGATGTCGAGATAACCACGTAACTTTCACACGTAGCAGCCATAATCCGAGAAAATTCCGACAAACAATCATGTATTGAGGATAGACGCGTCAGCAGCTGATTGGCGATATCAAACACACGTGAAAAGAGATCGTATTTTTTCACGTGCGTGGTTACGGCTTTTCTCAGGGCTGGAAATCCTTGTATAAAACCGTAGTTTATATGATTATTAATAACAATTATTCATAACAGTTAATCGGCGGAGAAAATGTAAACTGTGCGATTTCGTCAGTTTGTAATTGAAATCTACCGCGGGACTCACCGACTCCAGCCAGTGAGCGCAATACCTAACACGTCACTTTTCTTGGAAATCTTAGACATGATCTCCACCCACTGGAGATTATTTGAAACGTGCTTAGATATGGTCACGAAGTCAGAATTCGGTCCGGTGGCACCTGTACAAAAAAGGTAAAGCGTCAATATGTTTTAAAGTATCGAGCTGACCGCGCACAATAAGCTGAAACATTACATTTGAGGAGAGTAGTCACGGGCGAGTAAATTTGTTTTCATTGATATTTTTAGCGATGTTATGTAAGTATGTGGAAAAATTGTAGCAGGTGCAAACTTTCAATGAAAATTTTTATTCTGTCGTAAATAGAAATGTCAAATAAAGAGTGTTATTTGGTCATATGAATGGTGATAACATCATACCCTTAAATGCACTAGCAGTCCAAATCTTGGGGAAAGCTTCAAGGTACCTTTGAAACATCTCTGTGGATAGTTCGATATTGAAAATAACATTAATACCTAAGAGAAAAATTCGAACGATACCGATATAAGAACGCTATCGTTTATAACTTATTTCCCATACACTACATGAAACAGAACTAAATCATACCAGCTTCTTTCGGTCAACACCTCAATTACCTCACAATTTCAAAATGAGACGTGACGAGCCAATCTGAACAGGAAAACATTTTAGTAGTTGTAAAAAGAATGAGAATGAAAAGGGGATTGATAGAGCTATTTTTTTAAAAAAGTAGTTTCCATAATGGAACCATTTTAAAAACATTTTGCTATAATTTGAATTAGGTCATACTTTTTATCGGCATGGCAATAATTATCTTGCTAGAACTGTCTTTGACTGCATGATAGAAACATGAGAAGTAGGATATATCAAGTAAGTCTCTTACCTTTTAGCGTTCGTTGCTATGAAATTTACAGCGACATATCTAATTCTTACCCTTCGCAAAATGTCTTCTTAGGTCAGTCCTATAATACCAAATCATAGGCTCTGCCAATTTTCCGATGGCTTAAGGAAAGTACAAATGGTTGATTAGCGGTTCGTATTTGAGCAGTCGAGTTTTAATGACCCTGATCAAACTGATTTTACACGTTAGAAGGCAACTGGCAACCGAGAAACAATAAACCCTTAAAGTAACCCTTACTCCCTTACTCTTTTCTCCCCTCTCGCAACTCTGTTTTCATGGATGAGTGCCGAGACTTGCAACAAATAATGTCTTTCGTGTTTAATCCCTCCCGTGCTGTCTTGCACACTTATAATGTACTTGTTACAAATCATTCAAAGTGTTTTGAAAAAATGGAAAACGAATTGCCAAATGTGCCGTTAATCACCATTGTATATTAATTCACGGCTATGTTGTTGATAACGCGCAGAAGTAATATCGCTAAAAAAGAAAAAATCAAACAAACAACAATGAGACAAATAACCCTCAAATCGGACGAAAGAAATGAAGCGCCCCCTTCCTCCCCCTTAATATGCCCCCCTGCCCATTATTCACTGATTTAAGTGAGTGCCCGGAGCGATCACTAAAGGATTAAATTTACCTTTGAGAAATTCGATGCTCCACTCTCTCATCATATCATCCCACATTATTGGAGTAATTCCCTTACTCCGCACATGCTGAAGAACAGGTATCATGTGCTCCAAGAATATCATGCTCTTGTTTCTTTGGTCGTCTGCACAAGTGCGACAAGTTTTCAAATTCCAAACCTATATATGTGAAAGAACAACATTCTCAATATTCTGCTCTGAGCTCAATCAATTATCATGTGAAATATCATTAGTGTCACTGATGTCATATGATGTCGATATGAATGGATAAACTGACCATACTTTGCTCTGTAAAAATTTGTCATCCTCTTTTAAAAAGTAAAATTATCGCTTACTTCATCAGCTCCAACATGAAACCACTTGATTCCAGGATGTAGTGCGGCCACTTGGTCTATCATTTCTCTGACTAAATCTGCAGACTCTGAATGATGGAATTATAAGACACTAAAGAAGAGCTTTGGAAACATGGCCACATTTGGCAACCGGTTTAGTAATTGCTGGTTTTTTTTTTAATTTTATCTATTTTTTTTTCTGCATTCAATGTTTTGCTTTATTTACGTCATCCTTTTGTTTTCTTTTAATGTTTGTTGTTCATTAAGATCATTCGCTTAGGATGAGAACTATGGTTTAGCAGAACAGAGTCTAAGTTGCGTCGCCGGTATCAATGAATCTTATATGGAGACCAGAAATCTAATCATTGATAAGCACTCAAGAAAAATAAACCTACCTGGATTTTTGGGGCAAACTGAGTTGGTGTATTTCGCAGTCTCGCGAAGATGTTTGAATTCGTCATGCTTTAAAACAAACTATTGGAAAAAATAGAATGACAATACTGAGAAATAGGGAGAAATTGTGTCGCGAACTTATTATTGTATTTAAGACTACGAAGACTTTATTGGGAAACGGGGCACATTTCAAAAGCTAAGTTAGACCTGGCTAGTTTACTTAATTAATTTTCTGAACTGGTCGAAATGTTTGACGAACAGCTTCATTATATTATATTCTTTATCATGGCGATTTATGGATTATTCAGTTATAAAAAACTTGTCTGGTCAGTCTCAATAATGAAATCGCGCCAAAGAAAACGTCTTGCCCAAATATATCCTAAGGCCTTTCAGGGTCATTCAGGCGAGTATACCTCAAGATGGCCGAATGTCTGCACCAGCGGTATGACTGTAAGGTTGTGTTGCATTACTTCTTTCACCAGTATGGTAATATCGTCTTTGCTATAATGCAATAATGAATTTAGGAATATAGCAGTGAATGCCCTAAATTTAAAACTGTTCAGTTAATTCATGGCATCGGTTCTTTGTGGAAATCATTCGAATCACGTTGTGAAAATCAATTGAATCACGAGAGAAAACCCTGCCAAAGTCGATCGTTCAAATTATTGATTTAATTCAGTAGGAGTTAAAGTTATAGGCTACATAAGCATAAGAAAATATGTTTGTTGTGAAACCAGCAATGAAATTATCGCTCTGATCAAATATCTCAAATAAAGCAAAACATTTGCTTTAGCTTGGATCATCACAAACATTTACCAGCTCACGTGCTATTTTTGTAGGAATCCCAGAAATAAAATTATATGGTACTGGTGAGCTATTTGCAGATTGATGATCAATTTCACCTGTATGCATTGGGTCCTTGAATCACCTGGAGCTGTCCATTGTATGGGAAAGTATCAGAGTATTCGATAAGGAGCCCTGTGGCACCCCATTTAACGAAATGTGGTAGCAACTGATGAAGAAAACAATTTGAATTAGATCTTAAAAACATATTGAATACTTCATGGAAAGTGTTTCCGTCTGGTATTTACACACGAGTTGGTAGTATCGGAAATAGAACGAGTGAGCGCAGCAAACGAGTAAGATTTCTGATACAAACCGACGAGTGCATGAATAGCATACCGACAGACTTTCCATGTTGCATTATGGTAAACACACGTAGATTCAATTTTTGTTAAATGACAATTTAACATGAAGGCAGACTTAAAGGATTTAAATTTAGAATCAATGAGTTGTCAAGTATTGATGTATTACCTGCAGTAGGTAGGTCATATTTGGAGGTGCACCACCAAGATCCAGATGAACAAGCTTGTGTCCATTAAATCTGAAACATGATGAAATACCATAAAAGTTCTTGATTCACTTTGTTTGCCCTAAAGGAACATCCCGAATATACTCGAACAGAAATGTGCTTTCCAGCGGGGTGCAATCATGGGGTTCCTGCGTTAGATTGGGGTAGCCATTTGGGTACGTTTACTAAAAAGGGAAATAAATTGAAATGTAGTCGCATCCATTTGAAATTTTACGTAGAATTTAATTATGAAGAACATGGAGCCTCTTTCCATATCCTAAATAAAGCCTTTTTTCTAGAACTGTACAGTTAAAGGTGAAACTGTTCTTTCATAAGCGAGGATAGTTATGTCTAAACCAACTTTCCCGCTTTACACACCCACCCAAACTGCAAGCGAGTAGCCCTTCCATAATGATGCTGCCTCCTCACTGTACCTCACATATCGTAAAGTTGTTTTTAAACGTCATACTTACTCATTTGTAAAGATTTCACCACATGTAAGAGTTGTAACTATATTCAGTTACATATGGTATCAGAAATCAAAGGGTTGTTTAGTGTTTAAAGCCCGCAAAGAATGGACAAGACACCATGCTTACTTTTTCCTTGCGTCACCCTTCTGAGACGTGTCCCCGAGATGCTGAGCGTGCATTTTCGTTGTGATATTGTACAATATTTCTTTTGTCTGATGAAGCTCAACTTTTGCTTCATATGCTTCTCTTCTCGTCCTCGACAATTCTGAATAGCGAAAAGTATATCTAATCAGGATAGAAATAATATAGCTGAGGTATCAATGAATAAATGTTCGAAACTCTTTCAAGAAACTAGTGACCTGCGTTAAGAACCTGTGCAAAATTTTCTCCGAAGAGCGGCAAACATTTGAAATATCAGCCTGCCAAAACTCATGCCCACCATGATGATGGTTTTAAAATCTGCTGCTTATAGTGTGACTTAAGTCTCTCATCGGAGAATTGACCAAAAACCTAATTAAGTGACGTATACGACAAAAGTTCTTTAGAAAAAGTCTAGTTCTAAACAATATATATATATATATATATATCTTTTTTAACAATTTTATTCTAACCTTTCATTTACACAGTTACAATTTTACATTCATAAAATAGGTTAAAAATGATAACAATTCGATATATCTAACAATCTTACGCTATTACGCTATTACGCTATTTTCAGCTTAAGAAATTAAACAAATTAAACTAATTAAACCAAGCAACATAACGTAAAAAAAAAAGAGAAAAAACAGGATAGAAGGCAAATCGGCTTAAGATTTTTTAAATTATTAACCATTCCTTTTCATTTGAATATCCATTTCTTTTCAAAGAAGTTTTTCTTATTTATTTTTCTTTCAATTTCATATTTGATAGCTATCTTGTTCTGATAACCTTGTATTTTAGGGTGTATTTGTTTTCTTCTGCAGTCCCACAAAAACAGTTTTCCGATAATAATAAAGTAATTGAGTAGTGTATGTGAAGGGCATTGTGTTGAAAGCATTCCAAATAAAACATTTTCCAAAGTCAGGTGAACTACCTGATTTGACAAGCGGAACCAGTACAATTCGAAATCATTCCAGAACTGTCTCGCATAAGTGCATTGATAAAGCAGGTGATATAGCGTTTCTCGCTCAGCTTCGCAGAGAGTGCATAAGTCATCAGCTCTAAAGCCAATTTTACACAATTTCGTGTTTGTGTAGAGTATATTGTTAAGGATTTTATACTGAAAAGTTCTAAACAATATTAATACAGGAACAATGATTTTTATGCACATCGATTACGAATAACGAGTTCACCTGATTTCCGAACCTGCTTTTTGAGACTAAAACATAAAATGGAAGACAGTACTTACCAAACATAAGACGCTTCACTAGGGCTTCAGTATCATTGCACTGGGATAAGTCTAGGGCTTTCAACTGGCTCCATCTAAGTATGATACAATTCAGTATGTGTGTATAATACGCGCACACACACAAAAAAAGGAGAGATTAGAAGCTCTATAACACATTTCTTTGATTCGATTATTTTTGACTGAATGTGATAGACATGACATAAATTGACTATACTGAATGATTATGGTAAATGATAAAGTCAGTAACCTTACAAAATTATGCAGCAAAAATGACACCGACAATCAGGTTGCTATATCAAGTGCACACTCTTAGTCCCCTGCCGTCTTCACCAAAGTTAATTGGACTGCCCCTTTTTGGTGGGATTCGTTGCTGATAATATGATAAGACATTTGGGTCGTGATGGTCCATGAGAAAGCTGATTCCATGAGGAAAAGTTTCAGCCCTCTGGGAGGCTGGTATTGAATTACTAGCAGTACTTAAAGAACACCGGTGGAAGCCTGGGGACATTTTAAAATGATATGTAACGCTTCGCGACCTGTCAGATGAAGATGTTTCGGTGCGACATTGTCTTGTCAGGCTTTAGCGACCCGTAGCCTTGTAAAGATATTAGTGATTTCAGTGATTTCAGTGTGTGATAAATTCATGGGCTTACAGGGCTTACATTGTCGATGAGTGTGAAACCATTTTCCTACAGCTGATTGTCGAGAAAAGGAAGATTATTCACGGGGTTTTCGCCAGTAAAGAGACAGTCATTAACGATCTGCTTCTTGTTGTCACATGAAATTTTGAGTGGCCCATCTGATTTCTTTTATGCCGAGTATAGGTTATAAAGGCGGGTTTTAAGCGACTATCTTGAGTAAATTCCAGTAAGATTTGCGGTCTTTCACTTCGTTAAATATCAGCTCATGTTGAATCAACCGTTTGCGATCCTGACTTGAGGCGTGATTGTGTTTCTAAGTAAGCGATATTCAGCCGATGGTTTTCTCTATGGCATTTAAGTCTTTTAAGAAAGAATTGTAGATACACGTTAATGACAAGGGAAGAATAATCATCTTCTTTCTGAACGCCAATATGTGCGATCACATAAGCGATCTATTGGTACCTGCATGTTAACTGACAATCATGTTGTACATAAAATACAAGACGATCGTTTCTCTGGCCGATCTCGTGGATTATGATAATTTCAAACTTTCAACGGCATTATTCGGCCCCACATCATCATCCAAGCTCAATATCATTGCAAATAGTTAATAAAATAGTCATAATTACGAAGTGAGAACACAAGAGTTATCAATCGATCAAATTTACCTGACACTGAAAGTTCCTACCCAGAAAAAAACAAACGAAGGAAAATGAAATAACATCTTTTGTTTCGCGCTTAAGCTGCGAAGTTCATCGACTAAGAGATGAATCTGGTTAAAGAGCTTCCCTTCTTTCTTCCAGTTTCCCCTGTAGCAACATTTTCCAACAGTTAACCCCCGATTAAAGGCATTGTAGTTCCCGACTGTGATCGATCAGGCTTGAATAAATAACCTGCCTATGATGACATCTTGTGACACTTATTGCCCGACTTGCGACAGCAAATAAAATTAGAGAAACTTCAAAACAACGTTATGTTTTTACCTTGTTTTTGAATGTCTGCAAATTTGAATATTCGCAACCTTACAAGTTTATGGCATTGAACGATCAGTGTGATAACCTTGTAACGAGTTTAACTGGTGTTCAGTCAAGATCTTAATTTCAGAAAACATTTATGAGCAATCAACAAGCTGACTGACAATACTAACTCAAAACATCTCTGTCAAAAGATCACCTTAATCAACTTTCATAGACTTTGTTCTCCTGCTCGATCTATTCTTCTGACAAGAGCGGATGTGTATCCGAATTAATTTCCCACAACTGATGCTCCAGGTTCAATGTACTTTTACCGAGGAAAGCAACAGACGAAAAACATCGTAGATATCAAAACGCACTGAGGAATTAATCGTATAGAAAATCTAATAAATTGCATATACCCCGGTTAAGGTCGGAAGAGGTCTAGGAAAAATTTTCAATCGATCGTAAATCTCATGGAAAATTGTAGACAGACCACTTAGACATGTACGGTGACACATCTAACCTTTAGGGTTCCGGGAACCAATCAGGAACGTTTATTACATTTTTCGTCCGCATTTCATTCTAACGATTGATGTTGGGCGATCTTTCAAGAGATGTGACAACTTCAATTTTGACTGTCGATGACGTCAGTGACAGTCGTAGCTCGTAACCAGTCTTCGATTCTCGGATCCAGCCACGTCAAATGTCATGTCTAGAGATTCTACGAAAGTGTGGAAATACTGAAATCCCGGGATGTGTGAACCTTTTTCTCTGACAAGTAAATAAAGCCTTTGAAATATATATTGCGGGACCAATTCTGCTCCTCCCCCATCTGCATTGCTGAATTTTCATTGTCATTTGCAAAGGAATTTCTTTCAAGTTTTTTTCAAACTTTTTCAGGCTCAAAACCACCTCCCCTTACCACCAGAGCTCTAAGAAAGAAAAAAAATAAGCTGTCGATAGCTAGGAATAAATTTATTCATTGAAACCAACTGAAAGTGAAAACTATTTGTTCTTGTTAGATTATTTTTTATTAATTTGGTTTTAATGCTTTTATCTTTATTTTATTATTTTCTTTTTATTAAATTTTTTTATCAACCAATTTTGATATATTTCATACTTTTTGTGGTTCCGTGTACGTTCATTTAGTTCCGGGTGGTTCCGGCATGTTCCGAGTGTTGGCAGGTGGTTGCAGGTGGTTTCGAACAGGAAATGCCGGTGTATTTGTACCAAAAACTTCGCTCAAACCACCAGGAACCTGTCGGAACGACGCAGAACCCACACACAACCTGCCGAGATGATAAGGCACATAAGGATAGTATGTAAAGATTACATATTTTTGGGTACAAATTTCGCGCTTGTTGTTCTGAGGTAAATTGCAAAGGATATTCAGAATGTGAGTAGCCGATCAAAGCGTGCAACATGGAGAACTTTGTCAGTGAAAACATTTGGGTGAAGAGGCGAGGTCTTATCCACCTTGTCAATTTTTATAGCTGCTATGTCATTAACTTTAAAAAGGGTAGCTGACTTGTTTCTTTTTTGTATTATAACGTTCTTGATTTTTATTTACAGCTTTTTAAACTTTTCTTCTCTTTTCTAACTGATCTTCCCCCCTGCCTTATCTGGGACGATGAAGACCGTGTAACAATAGTTGATGTTTCATTATTACCGTTAGTAGATAAATCATTGTTATGGTTTGTTTCCTTCCATGGTTGAATCCCAACGTAGCAGTAAATGGAATTTCTTTGGTTGCATCATGTGCATGGTGATGTTTTTTTGTAAGCAGCTTCAGAGCACCAATTGTTGAGCTCAGCTTTTTTCTCTCTAAGAATTTTGCTTAAGTTTTCTTTGAAAGTACGATTGCCTCGTTCGACCAGTCCCTGTGTAGTGGGAGTCCTCGGGGCTCCATGAACTTGTGCAATAGAATATGAATGACAGAATTGTTGCATTTTTATGCCTATAAATTCCTTTCCATTATCGCTATGCAAAGTCTTTGGAAATCCAAACATGAAAAACCCTTTCCAGCGCTTGTACAACCGCCTCGCATGTTACAATGGAATGAGCCAAGTATATTTGCTGTAATGGTCGTTCATGTGAAGGACCCATTTATGGCTTGGAGTACATGTACAAGGTAATTTTGGAAAGTCGGTTAAACTGATGTCTACATTGTTAAGGAAACCATCGGCTGCAACTGGTTTGACAACAGGTTTCTTCATATAGGCTGTCACACTGCGTTGAGACTGATGTAAAGTGCAAAGGGACACAAATAATTCAGTCACTTCTTGGTTAATTCCCGCGTAACAATTAAGTACGTAATGTTCTATCTTATCTCTCCTGCGGTGAGCAGTGACAGAATGTGCATCACTTAATGTTTCAGAGAGCTGACGTTTTGGAATAACAATTTTACCATCTTTATCTTAATTTTTTCCCTGGTGCAGAGTCCACTGTTTACGCTTGATAGTTGCGATATCTCTCTTCGACATTGACTAGAACGTACCTCCTTCTTGTCCTAGCCAGGTTTTGGCTTGATCATAGAAGTCGTTAGAAATAAACAAAGATGTTTTACTTTCTTTTCCTTGCTTGAAGCTAGGGGGGGGGGAGGAAATAGAGGGGGGGAGGGATGGAGTGAAGAAAAGGAAAGGAAACAAGCCTTTTAATTTCTTTAAAAATGCATCCAATTCTTTTTGAGAACCCCCCAAAAACCAAGCCCCTATTTTTCAACCACACCCCAAAAATTAAAATAGCCCTTTTTAAGATAGCAAAATAACCTAGGTTAAAATATGACCTGGGTTGAAAAAAATTCCTTAACTTAAATCGAACCTGTAACATATACATGTAACATATACATGTAACATATACATGTAACATATACATGTAACATATACATGTACCAAATATATATATGATACGTACACCCGTTTTCACAAACGTCTCAATTTGGAAATATGTAATAATTACATATGCCGTTCCTTTTCTCTTATCCAACATTTTTCTGACCAGTGAAAATAAAGCCTTTGACATGCATTGCGAAACGAAACTTGGCTCGACGACTCGTTCTTTGACTCTGAGCTTTTTCTACCTGGCTATAAGATATTGTGAAGAGATAGAGACCACCATGGGGGTGGCATTGCCGTCTACATAGCCGAAAATCTCAATTCTGAACGTGTTGAAGCTCTATGGTTTGAAAAATTTGAAAGGATGCTTTTTGGGGCTGTTTACCGACTGCCAAATCTAGACGCCACAGCTTTTACGGACAGTCCGGAAGAAATGTCTAATCGACAAACAAACGAAAGTAACAGTCCTTCTTGGTGATTTTAATCTTGACCACATCCCACCGAATGTGGCAACAAAACATTTCCAGCGTATTACGAACCTCTACAATTTGAGGCAGCTGATTATCGAACCCACCAGGATTACTCATCACTCAAAAACTTTAATCGAATTATTCTTTACTTCAAAGCCTGAATTTTATGTATCTGGAGTATCGCCGATCGGCTTCTACCATCAGTTGGCTATTTTTGGAACCAGGAAACGTCACAAAATCTCCCTGAGGCATAGCTTTCTTTCAAAGATTTATTCCTGACAGTAGCACACAAACACGCACCAATTGTTAAGTGCCGTGTTCGCCAAAGATCGGTGCCTTGGTTGACGCCTGAGACTGTGATCACAGAGAGCGATATAAACAAACAGTGAACCACACTGAAATGATTAAAAATATACGCGATGCTGTCAATACGAAAATGTATAAAGAAAAATTTAATCATTATTCCACCAAGCTGTCAAGTCACAAGAACCCCAAAGAGATGTGGCAGACACTGAACACCATCTTTCCCAAAAAAAAATACGCATTCGGTAGTGATTCATCAGATCTGTTAGCGACAAAGTTCAACGAGCTTTTTATATCAATTGCAAGGAATTTATGCAATGTCTTTTAAGACCGCGCCTTTCCTCAAATTTTAGTTCCCAGAGGTAACAAGGACTTTGCTTCGCACGCTGTTGACGTCAGTTTTGTCCGCCATTAAAGTTATCAAAAGCTACTGGGCTCGACAAAATCCCTGCAAAACTCCCCCAAGACGCAGCCTCCGTTATAGCCGAGCTAATCACTTATATTTTAAACCTCACGATCTCGACAGGTGAAATTCCGTCACAGTGGAAGGAAGCTACAGTAACTCCAATTTATAAGACTGGGAGGAAGGATGATGAGAACAACTATCGTCCATTTTCAGTTCTCCCCTTGATTTCTAAAGTGATGGAACGTGCAATTCAAGTTCAACTGTTGGCCTTTCTTGACAAAAACAAAGTTCTATCAGTTTTTCAATCCGGTTTTAGTAAGAAGCATTCCACTGAAACTGCGGTTGTCTACCTGGTTGATCACATATTAGAACACATGGACAGGCAACAGTTAGCTGGTGCTGCCTTTGTCGATCTAAAAAAGGCCATTGATCTTGTTGATCACCTCTGCCCCCTTCACAAGCTAAAGCACTATGGAGTGAGAGGATGCAGTCTTACCTGGTTCAGAAATTATCTGACTACTCGTTCGCAGACAGTTCAATAGGGAAAAGAATTATCATCCAGCCTTCCTCCAGACTTCGGCGTTCTTAAAGGTTTCTTACTGGGACCATTTTTTTTCCTGTAGTGAAATGTTTCAACAAAAATCATGAATATTCTACCAAAAAGAGTATAAGTTTTGAGTCTGTTTTATTCATGTATAAGATGAATTGTAACAAAGAAACACATGATGAATTAAAGAACTCTTGTGAAATTTTTTGTCCATTTTGTGGCAAATAATTACAAAAACCAAAAATAGCATCAAAACATGTCGTGAAA